CATGTCTGAAGTATGAGAGACAAAGTTTCGTGATCCTTGCTTCTAAAGAGCATTCTTAGAAAATGTTCTGTACTTCTTCCAACACAGATTTTTTTGTTCTTCTGGCAGTCTTTCATGTGTACAAGTTTGTAATGCTAATTACATCAATATTCTTCTACAACACCAGAACTCCGATGCATAAATTCTTCTGTGATCTCTCTAATTCATTGTCTAACTTTCACATGCATATGAGGTAATTGAAGATACCATGATTTGAGTCAGGCACACCTTAGTCCTCAGATTGCTATCTTTGCTCTTGAACACTTTAAAAAGATCTTGTGTGGTAGATTTACCTAATGCAATACTTTGTTTGATTTTTTAACTACTGCTTGGATGTTTGCTGATTGTGGATCCAAACAAATTGAAGTCTTTGAAGACTTCAATCTTTTCTCCATTAATCATGATGGTAATTATAGGTCCAGTTGTGAGGATTTTTGTTTTCTTTCTGTTGAGGTGCAATCCATATTGAAGGTTGTGGTCTTTGCTCTTCATCAGTAAGTATTTTAAGTTCTCTTGGCTTTTGACAAACAAAGTTGTATCATTTGCATATTGCAGGTTATTAATGAGTCTTCTTCCAATCCTGATGCCACATTTTTGTTCATATAACCTCCAGTTTCTTGGATTATTTTCTCAGTATACAGATTGAATAAGTATGGTGAAAGAATACAACTCTGGCACACACCTTCCCTGATTTTAAACCATTCACTATCCCCTTGTTCTATTAGATTGACTGCCTTTTGGTTTGTGGCGGGTTCCTCATGAGCACAATTGAATATTCTGGAATCCCCATTCTTCATAATATTTTCTGTAGTGTGTCATGATCCATGCAGTTGAAAGTTTTTGTGTCGTCAATAAAGCAAAAGTCATCAGCTTTCTGATATTCTCTGCTTTCAACCAAGCTACATCTGACATCAGCAATGATATCCCTAGTTCCACCTCTGGTAGCCACTACTAGACTTTGCTCTCTCTTTAGTTACCTTCTGTAGATATTTCATATAAATGAGATCATGCAATATTTATCTTTTGTGATTGAATTATTTCACTCAACATAACGTTTTCAAGGCCCATCCACATTTGAGAATGCATCAGGATTCCATTGAGAGAACTCATGTTAAGGTAAGAAGAAGACCACCATGAGCTACACTTGGCTATAGAGTGTGGATATGCGAGGGACATGGTGTCTTGAGTGTGGAGTGCTCATCCATCCTGATGGTTGTGGAGGGTGAGGAGGGAGAAGGGAGAAATGTGATGATGTTGAGTTTGTCTGGGGGTCCTGCTGTGAGATTCCGCAACAGAATTGAGCTCCGGGTCAATGGGGTTGGGTGCTTCCTTTTTACTTTTCAGATGCCAGCTGCCAAATAGCTGTAGCATCTTGAGAGTTAAGCATGTCAATGGCCTAAGCAGAGCATTGCATTATAGTGATAAAGGCTAGTAGTAGCAGCCTATGAACTGGAAGTTCTGCATGCAGTTTAATACAAAACCCAAACTCATTGCCACTCAGTCAATTCCAACTCATAGCAACCACATAGGACAGCGCAGAACTGCTCCCCAGGGTTTCTGAGACTATTTTCTGAGACTATAAATATTTATGGGAGAAGACAGCTTCATTTTTCTCCCATCAAACGGCTGGTGGGTTAGAACCCCTAATCTTTTGGTTAAGCAACCCAACACTTAACCAACTGCGCCAGGACTCCTTATGTAGTAAGTATGTTGTTGTTACGTGCTGTTGAGTCAGTTCCGACTCATAGCAACCCTGTATAGGGTTTCTGAGGAGCCACTGATAAGTTTGAACTGCTAACCTTATGGCTCAAACTGACCTTGTTGTCCAGCACATTATCCTGCAGCGCCACGCCAGGATTCCCTTATGTAGTATAATAGACAATTAAAGAACTAGAAAAATTAAATTTGTGTATAAATGTTTATAAAACTTCACTTATACCTATAAGATGAGGATTTTGGATTATAATTTAAAGTTCCAAAATCCTTAAGCTGAAAGAACTGAGTTAAAAATTCAAACCTCAACTTGCAATAAAGAAGGATTCTTTGGGCAAAATATTTATTGATGCAAAATATTAAAAGAAGATGGAAGGAATACACATAATCATTGTCCCAAACAGAAAAGGTCAATGTTCAACCATTTCAAGAAGTAGCACATGACTGAGAATCAATGGTACTGAAGGAAGAAGTCCAATCAATGTCATTGAAGGCATTGGCAAAGAACAAGGCTCTGGGAATTGATGGAACACAAATAGAAATCTTTCAACAAATTGATGCTGTACTGAATGCACTCATGCATCTGATGCCAAGAAATTTGGAAGACAGCTACCTGTTCAACTGATCAGAAGAAACCCATATTTATGCCCATTCCAAAGAGAGGTGACCCAACAGAATGCTGAAATCATTGGACAATATCATTAATATCACATGCAAGTAAAATTTTACTCAATATAATTATCAAAATGACTGTAACATTACATTGACTGTGAACTGCCAGGAGTTCAAGCCAGATTCAGATGAGGATGTGGAATGAGGGCTATCATTGATAGCATCAGGTGGATCTTGGCTGAAAGCAGAGAATACCCGAAAGATGTTTACCTGTGCTTTATTGACTATGTATGCAAAGACTTTCGACTGTGTGGATCATGATAAACTATGGACCATAGTGTGGTGTATGAGTATTCTGGGACACTTAATTTTGTCCACTGAGAACTTCCACATAGACCAAGAGGCAATTGTTTGAACAGAACAAAAGAACATTGAATGGTTTAAAATTAGGAAAGGTATGCACCAGGGTTGTATTCTTTCACCGTACTTATTCAATCTGCATGTTGAGCAAATAATATGAGAAACTGGATTATATGCAGAAGAACATGGTGTCAGGATTAGAGGTAGACTCATTAGCAACCTGTGGTATGCAGATCATACAACTTTGTTTGCTGAATGTGAAGATGACTTAAAATACTTACTGATGAAGATCAAAGACCACAACCGTCAATATGGACTGTACCTTAAGCTAAAGAAAACAAAAATCCTCACAACTGGACCAATACATAGCATCATGATAAATGGAGAAAAGATTGAAGTTGAAGTTGTCATATTCTTCATTTGTTTGGATCCACCATCAACACTCATAGAAGTGGCAGTCAGGAAATCAAATGATGTATTGCATGGGGCAAATCTGCTGCACAAGACCTATGCAAAGTATTCAAGAGAAAAGATGTCAGTTTGAGGACTAAAGCGCGCCATGATATTGTCAATAGCTTCATATGTATGTGAAAATTGGACAATGAATAAGGAAGACTATAGAAGGACTGATGCATTTGAGTTATGGTTTTGGAGGATATTAAAAGTAAGAACAAACAGATCTGTTTTAGAGGAAGTACAACCAGAATGTTTCTTGGAAGCCAGGATGGTGAAACATCATCTCTTATACTTCAGACATATTGTCAGTAGGGACCAGTCTCTGGAGAAGGATATCATGCTGGGTAAAGTGAAAGGTCAGTGGAAAAGGAGAAGAGTTCCAATGAGATGGATTGGCACAGTGCAGCAGCAGCGAGCTCAAGCTCAACAATAATTGTTAGAGTGTCATATAACCAGGCAGTGTTTCGTTCTGTTGTGCATAGGGTCACCATGAGTTAGTATTGACTCAATGGCACCTAACAGCAGCAACAACAAATCCACAAGATCTCTCAGTACTGTGTTGTTTTTAGGTGTTGTAGAGTCAGTTCCAGCCATAGTGATCCTGTGTAGGGTTTCCAAGGAGCAGCTGGTGGGCTTGAACTGCCAACCTTGTGGTTCGCAGTTCAGTGCTGATCCTACAGTGCCACACCAGGAATTTCTCAGTACTGTGTGTATATATACTATGCTCCTTTTTACATCAAGCAGGTAGAATGCCTTAGTGAACCAAGGCATTTATGTTCCTCTTCCCTTTATGGAAAGCTTTCATCCTTTGACACTAGTTTAAGCACGTTAACCGTCTTGCCAGGTGGTACCTTCCCATTTTGGCCGTGCTGGGCATCGCATTCCTGCAGGTATAAGCATCACAAGACAGAGGATTAGGAGAAGTGCTCTCTCTGTTTCTTTGTAGACTTGCCATTTTGGCAATCCATTCATTGGAATTAGGTCATTTTTTCCTGACTACTTTTGTGTTGGTTGGCTGATTTAGTCAATTCATTTCCTGAACCTTATGGAAAAGTGCAGAGAATTATCATTCACTTTTAAGAGGATTGATAAGATTATGTCTCTCATTCTGAGTACCAGGTAACTCTGAATAAATTTCTCCATCCCTCTGGGCCTCAGGCCCCTTATGGGGAAACTTGGCATGGACTAGTTAATCTTTAAGGTTTCCTATGTCTTTAAAGGCTTCTGGTAACATGGAATTAATTTTTTAAAGTTCTAACATTTTTCATCAATATAGCTACACTTATTGAGGATTTAAAGTGACAAAACACTTTCCAAGTACACAGATGTAATGTTGATAACAGTTCTCTGAAGTAGGTTGAGTATCATCACTGTTGTTGCTGTGTGCCGTTGACTGGACTCCAGACCATGGTGACCCTATGGACAGAACAGAACTGTCCCATAGGGCTTCCAAGAACATCGTATTTGCCGAAGCTGCCTGCCACAGTTTTCCCCATGGAGTGGTTAGTGTGCTTTGGTTAGCAGTCGAGTACTTAGCTACTGTGCCAACAAGGCTTCTGTATTATCCTTATTACCCCCATTTAACAAATGAGGAAATTGGGGTACAACTAGCTCAAGAACACACAGCTAAAAAGGGGTAGAAATGGCTTTAAGTTTCGGGGCTGTCCTTAGCTACTCTTCAGTGCTGCTTCCTCTGACAAATTAGTGAGAGAATAGATTTTCTTTAGTTTGATACATTAGTTTGATTCATGAGTCAGATGAGTTAGAGAAAGCCCTGTCCATGGTCCCCTGGCCTCCCAGTTGAGACTAAGGCCACTCAGCTCCAGTGTGAATTGTCTTGGGGTTCCATTTCTGACCACTTCCTCATACCCTGGGAGTTGTTCACCTGGAATGTGGAACACGTACAACCATCAGATCCTTTTTAAGCCTAAAAGTGGTTTTTAAAGACTTTTCTAAGGATGTAGACAAGGGGACAAAAAACTAGGGGTGTTATTTAACAACTGTACGGCATGGTCACTGACCAATCAGAAGACACTGGCTACTGATAAGTCTGGAGTGGGGTTCCGGGGGCCCCATGTTATGCCTGACATTGTATTTAGTTACTGGGTAGTAGGGAGGGGTCATGAAGGGTGGGCCCCAGACTGGTGCTATAGCGGAGGACTCTGTGACTATTTACCAACCCTATGCTGTATCTTGGTGTTTTTATGACTTGTACCAGCACCTCGGTAGCCCTTCCCTGTAACTTTGTACTAATTAGAAAAGGGTACCTTCTCTCCTAGGTACTGAGTATGGACTGGGGAGCGCCTGTGCAGGGCATAGTCTCCCAATAACATACACACAATCTTTTGTAATAACAATTCTCAGTAGGGAATAGGGAGGGGAGTGCACACCCACATTTTTGGCAGGGCTAGCCTATTGCTTCATGTTTACCACAAAGGGGTCATATGTACCTGGAACAGAGTTGAGGACCACCGCTTCTAGCATTACCAAGGTGACAGTCCTTCTTTGCAGTTTAAAGAGGCTCTGTGTTACAAGAGAGATTAGGGTCAAATTTTTCACCTAAATGATCCCAAGGAAGCAAAACCCCAAAAGACAAACACATTGCCATTGGTAGATTCTGACTCATAGTGAAACTCGGAGTAAATTTCCCCCCAAATTGATGATCTGAATCTCTCGTACTTATTTTAATAGATTCTTTCTGGATATTTGTTATGTTAAGTATGGTACAAAGAGGAGTGACCAGAGTTTATTTTATCACTTAAAGTTTCCATGACTAATTGTTTAGTTCCTTTTAAGACTCTGAAGCAGTCTCGGATTGTTTTGGCACAAGCATGAATCACATCATTCGTGCATGTCAGCTCTCAGTCTTGAACTTTGCTATGGGTTTAGGATTCAGAGAAGTGTGGCACTGTAGGATAAGCACTGGACCATAAGGTCGGTTTGAACCACCAGGTCAGTAGTTCAAACTCACCAGCCGCTCCTTGGAACCGACTCATCAGCACTTAACAACAACAAGGATTCAGAGATGATCGAAATAGTTCCTGCTTTCAAAGACCTTACAGTTAAATCACAAGGTAAATGGGAAAATATTATTGTTAAGTGCCACTGAGTCAGTTCTGACTTACAGAAACCCTGTATAGGTTTTCTGAGGAACAGCTGGTGGGTTTGAACTGCTGACCTTACAAATAGCAGTCCAGTACTTATGCTAAAGTGTCACAAGAGGATATGGAGTACAGATGCTGAGGAGTGGGTGTTCTGGGGTGACTCCCACAGGGGAATGAGTAGGAGGCTTGCAGGCCACACCTCCATCTTCTTTCATGTAGATTACAACAAATGCATCCCTGCTTTCATGCCTGCCTTCCTGTAATCCATTCTCCACTTAACAGCCAGAGGAATTTTTCCAGAATCATAGCACTCTCTGGGCTAAACTTCCCCATAATTTCCTATCGAACCTGAATCAAGCTCAACTTTTCTCATGACCTCATTTGAACCTCCCTCCTCCTTGCTCATGGAGTCCTGGTGTGGTACCATGGGATACGCACTGGACCACAAGATCGGTTTGCATCACAAGGTCAGCAGTTCAAACCCACCAACAGCTCCTTGAAAACCCTATGAGTCGGGACCCACTTGACAGCACTTAACAACAACGACCTTTGTGCTCACTTTGCTTCAGCCACAGCAGCCATGGAACATGATTTTTCTCTGACAGGTGGCTTACAGAGTTTCTCATGACCTTCTTATTATTTGGGCCTCAGCTCAAATGCCAGCCCCTTTGAAAAGTCTTCACTGTTCATTCCTTCTAAAAGAGCCACCCATCTCCAAACTCCCACTCTGTTTATTGTGTTTAAGGCACCTCGTAGCACCCAACAACCCTCATGTTTGCTATTGTAGGGCTCCCTCCATTAGTACAAAATCTCCACAGAAAACCAGAACTGAGTTCATCTTCTTCTCCATGTGTCCCGGTCCCTTAGATAGTACCTGTATTGAAGTAGGTACTCAATTGATATTTTGGCCCCACTCAATGAATAATAGACACCAGTATTGCTTTTGTTCAAACTCGTCAATCTATATTCCTTTCCAAAGATTAGGAGAGAAATGGACTGACTTGGAATTATTCCACAAAACCCCCCTGAAACTACCAGTTAAAAGCCTCCAATGTTTCTGACCACTCTCTAAGTAGTATGTGGATATGTTTTAAAAGACTAGAAAACAATACTGATGATGTTTATACAGATAAGGTTTACACTATTGTTGTTGTTGTTAGGTTCCCTCAAGTCGGTACCGACTCATAGTGACTCTATGCACAACAAAATGAAACACTGCCTGTCCTGGGCAAACCTCATAATTGTTGCCACGATTGAGCCCATTGAAGCTGCCACTTTGCCAATACATCTTCCTCTTTTTCTCTGCCCTCTACCTTACCAAACATGACATCCTTCTCCAGTGACTGGTCCCTCCTGACAATATGTCTGAAGTATGAGAAACGAAGTTTGGCTATGCTGGCCTCCAAGGAGCACTCTGACTGCACTTCTTCCAACACAGATCTATTTGTTCTTTTGGCAGCCCATGGTACTTTCAATATTCTCTTCCAACACCATAACTCAAATGCATCAATTCTTCTATGCTTTTCCTTATTCACTGTCCAGTTTTTGCATGCATATGTTGTTGTTGTTAGGTGCCATTGAGTCCGCACTGACCAATAGCGACCTTATCCACAGCAGAATGAAACACTGCCCATTCCTGGCCCAACCTCACCACTGTTGCCACACTTGAGTTGATCGATGAAGCTACTTGGCTAATCCATCTTGTTGGGGTCTTCCTCTTTTTCTCTGACCCTCCACACTATCAAACATGATATCCTTCTCCAGTGACTGGTCCCTCCTGACAATATATCTCAAGTATGAGAAAAGAAGTTTGGCCATCCTGGCCTCTAAGGAGCACTCTGGCTGCGTGTCTTCCAAACAGATCTATTGGTTTTTTGGCAGCCCATGGCACTTTCAATATTCTCCTACAACACCACAACTCAAAAGCATCATTTCTTCTACAGACTTCCTTATTCACTGTCCAGCTTTTGCATGCATATAAGGTTATTGAAAATACCATGGTTTGGGTCAAGAGCACCTTAGTTCTCAGCTGACATCTTTGCTCTTCAACACGTTACAAAAGTCTTGTGCTGTAGATTTGCCTAATGCAATATATCATGTGATTTCTTGACTGCTGTTTCCATGAGTGTTGATGGTTGATTCCAGAAGAATGAAGTCCTTGACAACTTCAGTCTTTTCTCCATTGATAAGAATGTTGTTTATTGGTCCAGTGGTGAGGATTTTTGTTTTCTTTACAT